CAGCAAGAAAAGACAGGCAGTACAACTTACTTTCAAAACAGGTAAGAGTTTCTAAATTATTTGTATAGAAACACCAAGATGGTTTGCTAAAGCCACAGAGCCTACAGACGTCCTTCCTTGTCTGGTTCACACTGTAAAAGAAAATAGAACTAAGAGTTTGGTAATCCTTCCTCCCAAGGTGAGGGGGTGTGATCTAGCTAAGCCTGGCAAGATACTTTACTCTATGGTCTTAACCCCTTCATGTATTAACTAGAGTTAAGTATGCTGGCTATATGAAGCTGGGTATATCCAACAGTTTTGATGACTATACTGTTAATGGCCAACATCTTTTCAGTGTCCTGTATATTGCCTCCTGTTATTCTACTATTTTATTAATAAATTTATTTTTATTTATTTATTTATTTATTTATTTATTTATTATTTTATTTTAAAAGACCTACTCTTCACATATTTGAAAGGTTCTCTATACTTGATTCAATATCTATTATAGAATTTAGGGGGCACTTAGTAAATCCTTATTTCTTCAAGTGTTTCAGTATTTCAAATAGACATAGAAGCAGAAACTGACAGTTTGTATTTGACTGATGGCTTCTCAAAGGTTAATGAAGTAGTTCATAGTCATCAGTTAATCTGTTAGTTAATTAATTAGAACCATTCATTAATATGACATTAAGCCTTCTCAGGTAGGTGTTAAAATATCAGCTTTGTTATATAAATTAGGAAACTGAGACAAAGATTTGATTAAGGGCACATAATCCATCAGCAGTAGAGCCAGAGCAGTTCATTCCAAACTGATATTTAGCCATGGTGCTTGAGCACATGTGAAGGAAGAAGAAATGGAACAGGTTTTTGCATACCTTTCATACTACTATGCTGAATCAGAACTTTTAAACTATGAAAACAGAAGAGACTGGACCTGGGTAAAAGTTAACAGTGTAGCCCTTAGTGAGATGACCTGAATGACAGATCAGAAGAAAAAAAAATGTGAAAAACTGAGAATATCATGAAAACAATCGCTCACTTTTTCAAAACAGGTTTTGTTTGTTTGTTTGTTTGAGGGGGGACTCTAAAGGGGACTCTAAATGCTTGCTGTTCCTAAGAAGACTGGGAATATATATAGTCTGCATTTTCAATGGGTTGAAACCAATGTTACAATTGATTTCAGTGGAAATGAGGCTCAAATAATTTAGTCTGATACCTATATTGACCAGTATCTCAAAATGTTTAAGAAGTCAAGGATTGCTTCCAAAGAAATGTTTTAATGGCAGAAGCCATTTCATGAGGCTATAGCAGGGGAGATTCGGCACCACCATCAGCCCATAAGGCACACTCCACTGGTGCAGCTGGAAGACCCACAACTTTTGGCTTCACTCTTTAAACTTCAAAGGGTCTGGTTTTGCCTTCGCCACCAATGCCAAAAGTGCCACCAAAACACTATTAGCGCTGCTGCATGAAAATCATGCTGTCTCATTTCAGGAGGTGAACACTGCTGCCCACTTTTGCTTCATACCCTTCAACAAACATGAAGATATAGGTTCCCCGTTGTCTAGAAGAGGGGACTCTCTCACTGCCACCCCCACCCCCACCCTAACCCTAAATTTCCTAACCCTAAAATCTGTAGAAACATCCTTCGCCCCTTTGGCATCGGTTATAAAAGATAATCATGCCAACTTACCTCTTAAGGTTCCCACTGACAACCCTTTTGTCCTAATCAATATACTAGGTCTGTGCACAGCCACCACCATCCCCATGTGGCCCTGGCCCCAATCTGAGGGACCCCAATCAAGTCAATGCACCCAGGATCTGGTCTTGAAATAGTTCAGTGGGCTCATATCATCAGACCCTGTTGTATTCTTTAGAATTCCCCAGATTCCTGTTTTTATATGAATGTTCTACGGTTTTATGTTGTATTTTTTGTTTTTAAGGATATTGTTTATTTTATTTTATTTGTTAAGCACCACTTAGAGACTTTGGTAATATTAAGCTATTTATAAATGCTTTTAACTAGCTAAAAATGCAACCTTCGAAAAGGAACATCCCATCTTCAGGTAGTAGAAAAGCACCATATTCCAGTTTAAGTTCCTGCTTCTGGATTGCCAAATTGAGTGTTCTCCATGGCACACAATGTTTTCTCGGTGACAGCTCCCAGCCTTTAGAACTCCCTCCCATGAGAAGCTAAACTTTCTCCCTCCTTGCTGTCCTTCTGCCATCAGGTGAAGACTGTTCCAACAGGATTTTGGGAACCAACTGCTTTTAATTTGTGTGTGTTTGTAGCTTTGTTTCCATCAGTGTTCAATTTCTTTTTAATGTTTGCTTTTTCCCTAGGTTTCTGGCCATTCTTCTTTTTAGCTGTAAGGTGCCTTGAGTCCCTGTCAGGGGGGAAAGTGGGGTGTAAATAAAATCAAGGGACAAAAAAAAGGATGCATAGACCCTGATCAACATTGGAAAATGACTGTCGTGAGATGCTACAAAACAACTGCTGTTCTGAAGCCCAGAAAAGATGGCTCAAAACAGATTGCATGAACAGAAACACATTAATCTGAGCTGTAGTCACAGTTCTAATACTTCAGAAAGACAGCAAATAAGAATTGCAACAATATTTGCTTATGGACAAGCAACATTATTGACCCACCTACCCACCCCTATCTTGGCAGAAGACAAGTAGCAAGAGAAGCCAGAAGGATGGGTGTAGCCAATGACTAAAATTCCAAATCAATGCCTCTTGTGCAGATTCAGCAATGTGGATCTGAGGGTTGTAGCATCCCTATTCCAGCTTCAGATCTTTCATTTCCTAATTTAGAATGAACATGCTTTGATGAGCCTGAATTGGCCAAAGGAACATATGTCATTTTTCAAAGTATTGTCACGGCCTCTGTGTCTGTCACCGTAATTGCCGAGTCAATTGCTGATTTGAGTGCTTGTCATTTTCTGTACAGTTAACTTGTTCGGCTACCTTATCTTTATCAGCTGGCAGGGATAAGCAGCTTCACTAACCCTTATGATTAATAGTCCTTATAAAGTAGAATAAAAACACCACCCTGCTTTCCTGGCAGGAGTTGCAGCCATTTAAACAGACCACCATATTTTGGCTGCTTGGTTTACTACTGAAGGCCAATGAACAAGAGTTTGCATTTCATATATTTCATTTCCATTATAATTTCAAAATTTGATGAGGCTTGATGCCAGGGTAAGCCTCTTCTGTATCATGGCCTAGTTAGAACTAGGGTTTTTTTTCCCTGTACATGTTCAAGCTGGCTAAAGAAGCAAGTTTCTCTGACCATGGACAGAATGCACCATACATCTTAGCTAAGGCATTTACTTTCTACCTAAGTTGGAGGGCATAGGAAATATAGGAAGTTGCCTTACATTGAGTCAGACCATCTCTCTTCCCCGTGTGTCCCTCCCCCCACAATAATGAGTTCTGGGGAGATCAGGAGTAGCCCCAGAATGTCATGCAGTGGGCAGAGAGGAGACATTATTCCGCCTGGCAACCTGGCATGCTTGCATAGATTGAATGAGTGCAACATTGAATTCCACACAATGTGCAAAGTTGTGCTTAGATATCAATGTACCTGTGATTGGGAAATGGTGTGCCCACGCTGGCTAAATCAGTGCTACTCAGACCAAAAAGAAAAGGAGCAGACCAATCCAACATTCCCAAGTATGGTGGGAGAACCAGTTAGAGTGTTGGACTAAGACCTGAGAAACCAGGGTTCAAATTCCTACTGAGTCATGAGGTTCAAGCCGTAACCTTGCCCAGTCACTGCCTCTCAGCCTCAGCTAATTTGCAAACTTGTTATAAGGATAAGACAAGGAGAGGGGAAACCATGTATTTCACTTTGAGTTCCTCAGAGGAAAGGTGGGATAGCCATGTGATGAATAAATAAGCAAGGAAGCAAATAGAATCCTCCCATGTGGAACAATTTTGTTGAGGGGCTAGGCTTGTTAATAACATACTGTACATTCATTTGGGGTTATTAATACCCTGCGTAAAATGAGACCCAACAGTCTAGTTCAGGAGCATGTCCTATGGTACTTCCCTTTCCACAGAGATGTGTCTTGCACCCTCATTATGTAGTTTAAATTTGATGATGATGATGATGATGATGATAATAATTTTTAAAATATATATTTGTACCCCGCCCATCTGACTGGGTTGCTCCAGCCACTTTGGGCAGCATCCAGCATATATGAAAACATAGTAAAACATTAAACCTTAAATACTGAATACTGAAGGCATACCTTTTTACCCTGACCTTTGACACCAGAGAGAGATATTTTAGGACCCATGATATTCTCTTGAATGTAATCTGTTTTAACTGTTTTTATATTGGATTTTAAATTGTTTCCACCTGGCTTGGAACTTCATAGTGAATGGAGAGTATGAAATAATAATAATAATAATAATAATAATAATAGGCTCACATATATAAACAGATGGCCAAATTAAACCAAAACACACCAGGAAGAGAACACATTCCTCTATCCAAACTGAGAGCCAACTATTTTTAGCTTCAGCCCACCTAGCATGTCATTATACAGTTGAGCCTATCTGTTCTCTAGAAGCCAGAAGTGCTCCTTTATTCTCTCTATCATGTGGCCTTGCAGAAGCCACACAAATCAATAAGTTGTGCTTGGTTTCCAATGACAGCTTCTTTAATTAAGGAGGGAGATGGCGATACTCCCGAGCAGAAATTTGACTTTTGTTTTATTGCTCGTGCATTTTTAATACAATCTGTTATTTTCACCCTGGCTGCGAGCAAGCTTAGGAGCGTTCAAGCAGCAGACTGAAATTTATGGTCTTATTTATGCTGACCATGGTTCTCGCTTCCTGGTTATCCCTACCGAAAATGTGATTGATTGCGCAGGTGGTGTCACTTCAGACTGCAGTGGGGGATTGCAGCCACTCTCTTCACCCATATCTTAAAAAAAACAAAAACCCAAAAATCCATGCTACTGCAGCCGACACTAATTTCTACTTTTATTGGCAATCTCAGTAGAGAGGTCAAGGACTGAATAAAGACAGTGCCTGCACCTCTCCCTCTCATCCTTAGAAGTGGTCATTCCTGGTCAGGGTTGCAGTATATTGAAGGATTATTGCCTTTGCTCTACTGTACCTGCTCCATGGCTAAATTGAGAATTTCAATCTTCCCTGCTGTCAATCCAGAAACCTTTGTGAGAGCTATAGTCACATCTTTTGGAAGGGAAAAAAAATAAGAAAGAAAGAGAGAAACATTATTTATTGACTGTGTCAAAAGTAGCAGTAAACTCATTTTGGTTTTACATCTGTGTCGTGACCTGCTTGCTCTTAGCTGCAGATGATACATGGCAGAGCATCAAAGCACATGCTGCGAAATAATGCACACAGTTGCCATTTTAGCTTTGCATTTTGGACAGCTACATAATCATTTCCCAGAGTACCTGCTTGTGAAACTCCATAAGCTCTTCAAGCAGAGAGAGACCCTCCCCAAAGACAAAGTGTGCTGACATGGTAACAGGAGTGTCAGAGTGCTGTCATAAGCAGACCAGGGGAAGGAAGTTGGCAGTTTAGCAATCACAATATGCCCTATGACGACTTCAGTGAAAGCCTTCTAAGCCACACAAGACAAATTAGAAATTAGGGACTTGTGAAGCCTTCATGTTTATTTTTATGAAACTTTTTGGCTTGCCCCCCCCCCAAGATAAAATATATTCAGGATATTTATCCACAAACAAGGCAAGACCCCAGTTAACACCTGAGGAGGAAATCCCAAAGCAGAACCCTGAAACAAACGTAATAATGGAAGTGACATCTCAGAGCCCTGGAAGGAAACCAATTAGAAATACGGGTATTAAAGAGAATGTGGCCCACAATCTTGATGGTGACATACTACAGGACTGGCAAGTTCCAGTTCAGAAAAAAGATTGGAACTTGATACTAATCCCTCAAAAACTTGTGTTTGTTAACTACCCAAAACCGAAGGGTTTCCTCTCACAGATGGATCGCATAATGCATTTCCTTAACACCATGAATGATATGTTGCCAGGAGTGGTAAAGCCAAATGATATTGCTTCTATAGAGTACTTACAATGGTTACTCAGTACGAGCAATGATCACCTTTCAAGATCAAAATTTGGCCAAATTCATCCACACATCAAGACATCTATTCTTAAAGGAAAGGATAGCAGGTTCACCTCTCTTTCAAGACCTGCACATGGGCTAACTAGCTTGCTATTTCCCAGAGTGCCTAAGAAATGAAAAGATGATTCTGTTGCTCAACAAAATGGACATTGGGTGATTTAAAATCAGGGGTGGCACATCCTGTTTTGCCGCTTGGGACAAAATGGGAGGTGCCACTTTGCCTTTCTGCTCCTACTGCTGCTCCCACCACCACCCACCTGCTTTGGCTGCCACCACGCACCCTGCCGCATCTGCCAGTGGTGGAGAAGGAACACCACAATTGGTGAAATGTTGGGCAAGATCGCACTGATTTCGAGTGAGATCTCGCCCCAAACCACATGAGATCTTGTGCACTCCGCAAGAACTCATGCCAATTTGGGCGAGATCTTGCCCAAAATGAATGCAATCTTTCCCAAAATTGGTACTCGATTGTGTTGGCGCGTCTTTGCCACTGGCAGAGGTGACGAGGCAGGCAGGACACTAGCAGCATGCCACCTAGGGGGATCTTACCACCTGAGGCAGCAGCCTTACTCTGCTTAATGGCTAGGCCGGCTCTGTTTAAAAGCATCATCAGTATTTGGCTAGGTCGTGAGATAAAACTTTTGTGAATAGTAGCTTGAGAAGAATAGGATCACTTTATCCATAAATTAAGCCAGTGTATGCCTTATTTAAGGAGGCAATAAAACTATGCTTACATGTTTATTATCAATAGGTTGCATCCAACATTAGGCCTACTATGGGTAGACTCATTAAAATTATTGGACATGACTAATTTAGGTGCAGGAATAGATAGATAACTTTCAGGAGAATCCAATGGCCTTTGCACCATGTCATTGAGTTGGGATTTACATTAGTGCAAGGGTCATTGAATTGTCCTGTTAGTTACTATATAGTGGATAAAAACTACTGACTCCACTGGTACAGGTTGTTAGCAAGGAGCAATGCATGTATTGTGTTGATTTGGGTTTCTTTTCCTTTTTCTTAAGGTGGGGTGTCTGAAAGGGAATTTGTGCAGCTGGAAAATCTGCTTTTTAAAAAAACCAGACCGTCAACATTTAAGATCTCATGAGTATTGTGGGGTTTTTTTCCTCTGACAGGAACTGATAAATGTCATCCTCTTAAGTGCCACATTTCCATTTGTTTTTAACCTAAAAATCTTCAAAATATCCATACATAAGAATGAAATGGCATATGGTGTTGTCAGTGTTTCCTTTATGCTGCTGTTTATCTTTGCCATGGGGATGCTAGATAGTTTATGACAACCTGGCTTTTGAGTTTACATGCTGTTGACTATTCGCCTGGTCATTTTATGGGTAAACAAGAAATGGAAGAAGAGAGCATTTTCGCCTCATAATAATTTATTGACAACCTTCACATTGTAGTCTGTTCACATTCAAGTATGAATTATGGTCAAACAGAACAGTTTCCACTACACTTTTCTCAGCACATATCCATCCCTAAATATAGCATGTTTGGAGTGATATCTAAAGCACAAAGTGATTTTCTTTTCGTTTTTATGAGAAAAATATGTTTCGTCTACATTATCCAAATACTACTGCATTATTTCCCCACATATAAACATGGAGATTAACCAACATAATTGTATGTGATATATCATTGACACCATAGCAAACTCTCTTAGGATATTTGAAAGGAATAACTAAGGAAGCAGATTTGGTGTTAATAATGACCTTACCGACTGCAGCTAGATTAGTGATAACTGGCAACTGAAAATCTTCAAAACCGCTGGATAAATTACAATGTTATTAAATCACTGTATCAATTCCAATGGTAACTTTTATATGTACTTTCTTGTGCTTATTTAAAGCTATGTATATAGTACAAAAATATATTATTGTCAAGGACATAGTCACAATTCAAGCACAAAATGATTATTTTTAACAAGCCTTTTTCTGGACCATACTATATTAAAGCTAACACTGAAAGGCATTTTAGTCCTACTCTTAATTTATGCCAGTTATAAGTAAAACCATCAACAGCATCTTCCTGGAAGCCCAGCCACACCAAAATAGATCACAGATGCCGTGTAATTATCTCAGAAAAGATTTATTTTATTGATCTAATAGGTCGTTAAATATTTAGTTATGTAAATCCATATCTAACGATTTCTTAGACTCAGCTTTACTCTAGTACTTAGAGTGTATCTGCATCAAGTCTTGTTTGCAGGAACACATTCTGATGAACATATCTTTTACATCATTGAATCAAAAAGTACATTTATTAAGTTGGTATTTAGATGAATACATGCCAAACTGATGCTAAAAAGAGAAGATTCATGCATGAAACATCAAAGGCCCACTCAACTAAGCGGTTGTGGTGGAGAAGATTTGTAGGAACTATAGGCAAGAGCGAGTGGCCTAAGGGCCCCTCCAGACTGTGCTTCATATTCTGCAATATTTTCTTCCACAATAATTCATTACCGGTGAATTTATTAGGACCTAATTAATTCTGTGATGCTTTTCCAGTGCTTCCATATTACTGCTGTCCAGAGGGGCTATAGTGCAATGAAAATGGAAGAAAAATAAACCAGAACATTTGTGATGTAAAAGGTTGTGGGATTTCTGCAGCAAGTTATGGGATATGTACTAGCTGGAAATGCAGCAGTGTGACTGCCCCAAAACTTTTGCAGGCAAAATTAAAAATTAAATTGAAATCATGCATGTCTATCCTTATAGCACCATGATCACAAATCATCATGAATGCACAATACAAAGGGTGAGTGGTGGGTCAACACTAACATCAACAACACTAGCATAGGAGTGCATCAGTGTGAGCTGAGGAATGAGATTCTGTTAGGGTGTTTCAGGGATACCATGCCATTACATAACCTCCAAAATGTTAGAGTACCGGTATCTGCATGTTCCACGTTGGCACCACACAGGGATTCCTTGAAATGGCATCTAAACCATACAAAAAGCCAATACTGCATTAACTGGGTGCCATTGTGTAACCACTAGCCTGTGACCAGGTACTTTGCTCATGCGTAAGAATTTCAGGCAGGCACGAGCAAGCTCCGATAAGAACTAATGAGCCTCTGGCAGTTTTATGGTACGTTTATTTACAATTTACACAGAGAGAGCAGCACCGGGCTATCTGCATTTGGTCATGAGTTGCTCAGTCTGAATCTCTGCCCCTGCTGCAACACAGAGCACGCAAATGTCTGATCCTCCCCCCCCTTGCACTTCCATTGTAATTTAACCCTTTCAGCCCTTCTAGAGAGAGGGGAGGGAGGGTGGACTTCTCCTCCACTCTCAAACGAGGAGTTCTATACACACTACCTCCCTTCTGGTTGCATAGCAACCCCCTCAAGGCCGTCTGTTTCCTCCCCTTCTGAGGCTGCTTGTCTATCTGCGGCTGGGAACTCCGGAGGAAAGGGGTCCAAACTAACCCATTCTTGCTCTAACTGTGACTGCATTCTCTCTCAGGCGTCTGACTCAGCCACGTCTCTGACATCATGCTATGAAGGAAAACTGCATGGACACAGCCTGCCTACAAAAGGCGAGTCATTAAACATAAATGGCTTTCCACTTGGAATAGCCAGCTTACAAATGGACACATATAGCGTCCACCTGGAGTGAAGCTGGACTTATGAAATGTAGACGTCTTCCAAAGTAGCAGAGTGCATTCTGAGAAAAATGGGCGTGCTTTGGAGCTGCAGAAATCAAGGCAACTTCTGCACACTGAACCATCTCTGTACTTAACCAAGGGGACTGAAGTAGTACATCAGACCATCAGCAACAAGGATTTGCTCTTCACATTGAAGGCTGAAGTGCTTACTGATTAGGATATCTGCTCTTGCAGCAAGAACTCCAGCCTGGCCAACATGAAACCACAGCCAGGAACATTTCCCAGATCTGCTTCAGCTATATAAGAGATCTGCTCCTATAGAAGAAAAAGGAATTCCCAGATAACAGAAGACAACGTGTTTCGGTGCAGTGGTGCCAAACCCAGTGGCAGAATAGAGGTCCCTACTTGACCTTC